GAGTCTTTAAGAATATTTATTTACATACACTTTACTGGTTTCACAGTTCTATGATTTACAAAATTTACATTGAAATACAGAGGAATGTGGCTATGCCGCCATATTCCCCATCTCATAATATCTGAAGTTAAAAATATATCCATCAGTTCATTAGAACTATATAAGGTGCGATGGATAAATTGTCGAATAAATGACACAAACATGAAAAGAACACTGACATCACCTTTTAACAGAGTCTAGGGTTAACTGTCATCTTCCCCATATATCCTCATAAACAGTGCTTCTTACCTTTTACTTTGTGGAACCGACTCCCAAGAGGATGCTTCCCCGATCACTACAATCTTGACCTCTTCAAGTCTAGGGTTAACCGTTATCCTCCCCACATATCCTTATAAACTGTGCTTCTTATCTCTTACTTTGTGGAACCGACTCCCAGGAGGATGCTTCCCCGATCACTACAATCTTAACCTGTTCAAGTCTAGGGTTAACCGTTATCTTCCCCACATATCCTCATAAAAAAAAAAAAAGAACAATCATTGGTTTAATCGAATTCACTCCAAGCAAGATAATAATATCACTAAGGCACAAGGGGTTACTGTGTGTGAAAGAATTTGGAAACAGAAGACATTTTGAAAGAGCAGGTAAAATAGAACTGTAATCAGGAAGACAGTAGATAACGATTAACATTTAAAGTTTTGAAAATCAAAGTTGTCCTGAAAACATGGAGTTGGAAGAGAGATCCCCAAACAAGAAGTGATTGGAAAGAAACCGTTAGCATATAAGCAATTCAAGTGTAAATTCACCAGACCTTGCTGCCGATCTAGTATTATGTTACGGTTTTTTGGGTATATCGTATATAACTAGTGAGCGATTCAGAATGACTTATTTCCCTTTATAGTCGACCAATAGAAGGTTGACCAATCAGAAGCCGCACAACACTGTATTCGTCGTGTATAAAGGCGGCCATCTTTGTTTCTCCTAGCGGAAGGACCAGAGGCAACTTGTCCGGCGAACATGACAGACGGAAGAACTACGCTCTGCTACGATATCCACTGCGAAACTGCACTACGCTTTCCTACTGTCTCCGAAATATTCACTGCCAACCTCTGGATTCTATACTCGAGGACGACCGTCATGAAAATGTCTAACATATTATGCTTAAGTTCATATCAGAAAGATCGATATTTATTTGTAATATTTACAAAATGTGGCACAACACCAACATGGAGGATGGGGAAATGAGGGTGAGATGTTATTTGGAAGGGAGATAACTCTTGGTAATAATACCCATGAATATAAATGAACGGGATCTACTCATTTGAAAGCAATACATTTTTGACACCAGAATTTGATCAAATGGATAGCTCTGCCGACAGTATTAATTTCATTGTAGGAAGCCATATTTTTTTTAAAAATCATTTCACCCCAAGCAACGTAAAAAGCCACTATGACGCATAGGGTTAACTGAGAGTTAGAAAAACTAACATTAAGTAGAGAATAAAAGACTAAGAATTAAGAAGACCGAAGATAACGAGTAACATTGCATTTAAATCTTTGAAAGCCAAAGTTGATTGGAAAAGTCAGAAAAGATTTCCGCAAGTGAGTTGCGCGAGTGAAGAAACTGTCAGCTTAGAACTTACGGTTACAATAAGCCGTTTCAACTGCAAAATAACGAGACCTTGCCGCCAATCTAGTACTGCGTCTAAGTAAAATAGAAGAAAGTGATATTTATTTTGAATAATACAAGACCAAAATGGTGGATAGGTGAATACTGGTCTTCAGTCTATCTTATCTTAAACTTAGCTAGCGAATATTACTGACCCAAGTATTCCTTACACCAAAACAACACATTATTATTTACCATTCTTACTACAGTCACCATAATTCCTGGAAGTCTCTAAGTAGTCCTAACTAGTTCCTATATGTACAATTTGTCTGGGGAGGGTGAGTAAAAATAACAACATTTAAAAATGAAACCCTGATGAATATTTATATGAAAACATTGCAGAGAGTGATAATTATTTGCATGATAATATATAATGGGACAAGGCCAAAAAGGGCAATGGAGAAAAGGACGGTCTTCTTCTGTATTAACGTTAAACTTAGCTAGCCACAAACACTGACCAAAACATATCACAATATTTCTAACACCAAAACAACGCATACATACTTACGTTCAAAAATTCGTCTGGAGCCACTAAATATTTTTTAATTTAATTTTTTTAATCATTTCATTTCAAGCAGTTCAATAAAGCCACTGAGACGCAAGCGGTTACTAAGTGTTAGAGAATATGAGAAAAAGAAAACATTATTAACGAAATAGAACATATAAAGAACATAAATTAAGAACTGAACTGCTATGTAATATCACTCCAAATGCTAAGCAAAGTATTAAGAAACGGGAAAATTTCATTAGAAACAAGGATCGATGAATTGGTATGTAATATCACTTCAAAAGCGAAGCAAAATATTAAGAAATAGGAAAATTCGATAGAAACAAAGAGCGCTGAACTGTTATGTAATATCACTTCAAAGGCTAAGCTAAGTATTATGAAACAGGTAAATTTCGTTAGAAACGTATAAACGAGCGTTAAACTGTTATGGAATATCACCCCAGAAGCTAAGCAAAGTATTAAGAAAAGGGAAAATTTCGTTAGGAACAAAGAAGTCTGCAGAACACATTATGTAATATCGGTCCTCATACAGGACAGTGATCAGTGGACAATCCTGGCATTTAAGGCACTAGAAATATGGTTCTACAAAAGAATGCTGACATTAACATTGACTGAATATGTGAGTAACGAAAAATTTAGACAGAACCTGGAGAAAGAAAGTACCCTTACACACATCATCAGAAAGAGACAGTTGGAAAAATTAGAGCACATGACGCGGAAAGACAGCTTGGAGAATTTGACACTCACAGTACATAAGGAAGGATGGAGAATGACCAACGTAATTAGCATCTGTAAATGCTTTGACAGAACAAGGATTAGGAGAGAGGGGAAAAACACTTCAAGACCTATGAAGGACATATTATATATATATATATATATATATATATATATATATATATATATATATATACATGTCCTTCATAGGTCTTATTAAAGTGTTTTTCCTATCCTCCTATCCTATATATATATATATATATATATATATATATATATATATATATATATATATATATATATATATATATATATATATATATATATATATATATATATGACGCTTGCGTCGTATCGTAACAAGTCCGGGTTCGATTCTTGGTAGTGGATGCTCACTGCTGATGAGTCCAGTGCTTTCTGCATTCTGTTGAATTACTTAATTAATATTATTTCAAATCCTCCTAATAATTTAATTCACACACACACACATATATATATACGCGAGAGGTTAGCACCCCACTCACACACTTGGGATTAAAATGTGTACATTTTGTGGGGAAGACCAGCTGATATTAGCGTCTATTCTAACGCTATTTCAATGAAGAAATTAATTGAATAACATATGTATTTTTACTTTTCTCCTCAGTAATTTTATAATTTTAAAATTAATAGAGATTAAATTTAGATTTTAAAATTGGTACTTTTTTACTTTTAATTTTAATATCAAATTTTATCATATAATTTAATAGTTATTGGTTAGAATAAATTATATTTTAATATAACCCCAACTTTAAAGCTTTTAATAGCTATTATAACCTTACTTCGTTGTCAAGTTTTTTTGAATTCTCTTATACTCGTGTTTTGATTGGTCATTCTAGCTTATGTAACAGCGTTTTCACCTTGCGAAGGATCGTTTATCAATTTGAAACTTTTAAAACCATTTATTTTACATTCAACATCGTCACTTGATAAGACACCGGATGTATTAAAACAAAATGGCTATTTTTGTAGTGATTTTATAACATATTTATGTTATAAATTTTTAAGTAAATACTTATATCTGCTCTACTCTGTATTGAGCACTCTTTTAAGAATAGTAATTGTTGGTTATTCGAATTTATTCCGTAAAAACCAATCATATACTTATATATATATATATATATATATATATATATATATATATATATATATATATATATATTCCATTGGGAAAAGGTATGTATCCTCTACGGAACAGACTGGGTTTTATAGCGTTGGTCGGCAACCAGTCGAAGATAAGGAAACACTGTATTCAAAAACGGTCTAGAGAAGGTTGAGCTCCGTCGGGCTATCTAACCCAAGAGACATCATTTCTACTAGTAGGGTTATCACCTTACGTGGGGGTGAAATGATTTTTTTAAAAAATCACATGTAAAAATGCTGTTCTTTAAATTTATTTCTGTTAAATCGTGAGACACACCAACATCGTAGTGATTCAAGTATCTATGTCTTTCGAAATGCATTGCAACATTCGTCTGAGATATGTGAAATATCTCCGCGAGGTCCCGTGTCTGGATTATTATCAATCAGTGTCTTTTCATCACCAGCTGTAGGTCTGGCGGAACATTCGTTGTGTTCCAGATCAAAACTACAACTCTTTGACCCAGCAAACCGCTTACGAACTGTGATCTCGGCTATGGCACCATCTCCATAAACGGAACTTATGTTTTTGCTGTTTATACTGTTGCTTATGTTTATGCTGCTGAAATCTCAGCTATGCGGAGCTGGACCCGTTTCCAGTATAGAGAATCGTTGCTTGCCTAAAATTTTACTGTGCGGTGAACTCTCCACAGTCTATCGTGGCAGAGCGGCACCAACGAAACGATTCAAATATTACCTGAAAAAATCCTTTGTCATTTTGGTCGTTGCCAATGGTGCACTCTAGCTGAGAACCGTGACGTCTGGCTTCTCACCACCAACCATGCTGTCTCTTTCTTTGAAAATAGCTACAGGGTCGTTCTCAAGGACAAGAGGTAGAAGAGGAACTACTGCAATAATAAAAGAAAGACAAAGTTTAAACAATGAAAGAAAGAAAAAGAATGATAAAAGAAAATTCGAAAGGACAGAAGGCGATCAGAGAAAGAAAGAAAAAAGAAAGAAAAAAGAAAGAAAGAAAGTAAAGAAAACTGACGCGAAAAATAACAAAAAGGAAGATATTGTAGAAAGAAAGAAAGAAAAAAAGAAAGAAAGAAAGAAAGAAAAGAAAAGTGACGAGAAAAATAACAAAAATAAAAAGGAAGAACGTATACAAAGAAAGAAAGAAAGAAAGAAAGAAAGAAAAAAGAAAGAAAGAAAAAAACTGACGAGAAAATTATCAAAAATGAAAAAGGAAGAAAATAAAGAAAGAAAGAAAGAAAGAAAGAAAGAAAGAAAGAAAGAATAAAGAAAGAAAACGACAAATAAAGAAAAGAAAAGAAAACTGACGGGAAAATATAAAAAAACGGAAGAAAGAAAGAAAGAAAGAAAGAAAGAAAGAATAAAGAAAGAAAGAAAGAAAAAACTGACGAGAAAAATATTAAAAATAAAAAGGAAGAAATTATAGAAAGAAACAAACAAACAAATTAAAAAGAAAGAAAGAAAGAAAAGAAAAGAATACTGATGGAAAAAAATATCAAAAATCAAAAGGGAGAAATTATAGAAAGAAAAAAGAAAGAAAAAACGAAAGAAAGAAAGAAAGAAAGAAAAAAGAAAGAAAGAAAGAAAAGAAAAGTGACGATAAAATATCAAAAAGAAAAAAAGGAAGCAATTATAGAAAGAAAGGAAAAAAGAAACAAACAAAAAAAAAGAAAGAAAGAAAAGAAAACTGACAAGAAAAATATTAATAATAAAAAATGGAGGCAAATATAGAAAGAAAGAAAGGAATAAAGCAAGAAAGAAACAAAAATCAAAGAAAGAAAAGAAAGGAAAACTGATGGGAAAAATATCAAAAATAAAAAAAGGAAGAAATTATAGAAAGAATAAAAGAAAAAAAAAAGAAAGAAAGAACGAATGAAAGAAAGAAAAAAAGAAAAAAAGAAAGACAGCTGATTAGAGGGCTAAAAGAAGAAAAAATAAAAGAAGGAAAAAGAAAATAGAGGAAGAAGGAAAAGAAATAAAGAAAAGGTGATTAGAGAAATAAAAAGGAGGAAAAGAAAGAAAAGTAAAAGAACGTATGAAAGCTGGCAAAGAGGAACGAAAGCAAGTAGCAAAAAAAAAAATGAAGGTGATTTAAAGAAACGAGATAATGAGATGAACAGAAAACGAAAGAAAATATGAACAGATGAAGAAAAGAACTGATTATTGAAAGAAGAAAAATAAAAAAAATAAAAACTATTCACAATAATAGAAAGAAGATCATAAGAAGAAAAAGACAATAGATGAACAAAGGAATATAAATACTATTAGGGTTCTGTGAAAAAAGAAAGAAAAAAGGCGAGAATTAAATTAGGTGATAAGAATCTATCACGAAAAGACGATGTTATTTTTTCTAACAAAGAAAAGTGGTAAAGATTTTATTTTCATTAGCGAAGAAAGTAAGGTCGCGGTTCTGCCGGTTTAATTTGATTTATGACGACGCACCGAATAAGATATAGCTATCTGCCCATGGCAATAAGGAAAATTTCAGGTTGGTCAAGTGGCCTACGAAACAGAAACTGAGAGATAAAAATTAATTGGGTCGCGAAAAACAAAATGTCCGTTGGACCACCCAAGTTACAAAGAAAGAAAGACTGACCCATTAGCTATCTACGGAGATGTCGTTTGGAAAAGGCACCTATTTTGTGTCAAAAGCTGGTCATGATAGCAAAATTATTTTATCAAAACGAATAATTGGCTGTGGATATCGCCAGAATACCACCCACTTGTTTGGCGAAGGTCTCGATTGATAAAGTCCAGGTGACATTCGGTTAGGATAAGAGTCTAAGGATTTGTTGTCGAGAAGAAGAAAAAGAAAGAAAAGAAAAAGAATAAGGAAGAAAATTTTTTTTTTCTTTGAGCAAGATTTTTTAAACCGAGGCTAGTCCGGCCACACCCACGCCGCTGAGCGCCCATTGGCTGAATGGTGGCGTGAGCGGTAGGCGAAGGTAATCATGTGAAAAAGGAGGGGGGACATTTGACGCCACCCTGAAGGGATCTGTGTGAGATGCCACTGTGAGAGAGAGGGGAAACCCGTTGACACCCTCTGAGGGTATGGGTGAGATACCAATACGAGAAAGGAAGAATTTGGGAGGACGAAAGACTTCCAAAAATGGAAATTAATAATTCTTCCTGGCCGTGAACAAAGAAAAACCCTTAATGCGGATTTAGAATTACCAAGGAACCTTAAACCCAGACAGGCCCACCCCGGTTTTGGTCGGCGTCCATATAAGCAGAGTCGCAGCGAGTAAGACGGCAGTTCGCAGTTGGGGTTGGAGACAGACAGGCAAGCAGTTGCAGTTTGCAGTTGAGCTAAGAGCTCTGAAGACCCGCCTCGCAGGAAGCTGACTGAGATTCACGCATTCTCGACCTCAACTTCTAACCAAGAACAATTTATTTTTAAAGAACGACTCACACCACCAAAACAAGTTTTACGAATATCGCCTGAAGATAAACCAAGAACAAGTTTCTTAAAAACAAACAACTGAAGATGTTAAGACTCGCCTAACAAACATAAAGTGTCACGAATCCATATAGCGGTTTGGGAGAAAGACGCAATCCTGTATTCAGCAACCAGATATAAAATATTGTTATTCCTTTTTTAACACATTTGAACTCTTCGAGTTATTACTTTATTTTCTTTTATATATACTTGTGTAGTATCACCCTCGTCCGGACTCGACTTGCATTACGGCCCGGCGACTGATTGATTTCGTCTACCTAAGATCAAATCACAACGTGGGTAGGTTAGACTAGAAGTCAAAGACGTTAGAGGCGAGCTGGGAACGACAAGGCTGATGCCGAATCTTACCAGATTCCCATCCAAATCAGCAAAAGGTTAGAACGTCACATTTGGGGCCGCAACCAATACCAAATCACATTGGTCGTCACAGGACAGGATAGGACGGCGACGGCGCAGAGACAGACGGGGTGACGTCACAATTGGCGCCGCGACCAGGACAGCACGGCGGGCGCGGCCAGGCAGACGTCACATTTGGCGCAGCGACACCGGGGTGACGTCACAGAAAGAAAGAAAGAAACAAAGAAAGAAATTGAAATAAAAGCAAGTCAGTTTGCACAAAGGGAGAAAGTGAGGGCGAAGAATGAACGAGATGAAAGAATAAACAAAGACAGAAAGAAAAAGAAGTAGGAGAAAGAAAGATGTAGACATAAAAAGGAGAACACTATAAAGAAAGAAGAAAAAAAGGAGAAAGAAAAAAAAATAGAGAGACAGATAAAAAAAAAAAGAAAAGGAATGTAAAAAAGAAAGAAAATATGAAAGAAAAAGACTTAGAGCTCTGTGGCGGACAAATATTTCAAAAGAAAGCCAAAGAAAGAGAATTAAAAATGAAAGAATGAAATCGATGAAAGAAAAGAAAGAAAGAAGAAATGATAAAAATGCAACGTGAATTGGCGGAAAAAATGAAAGAAAGAAAAACAGAAAAGAAAGGAAAGAGAGATTAAAGAAATGTAGAACGTTCACTTCGTCTTGCAGCCTAATTCGATAATTCGATCTAAAATTTAAGCCCTTCGCTTTAGATAATTATTTATTAGTATTTTTTTTTTGTTTTCCATATCGATACGTCCTTGGTATTCAACACTTTCAGCATTTGCCGCCTTTTTTTTTATTCCGCCGGTATATTGATTGTAATTTTTGTCAAAATTTCAAACAGGCAGGGAATTATTTATAAATCGATCAAAAGATTGATGGAAATATACGCCGATATAAACATGGCGGCCTGTAAGGGCTGGAGACGCAGAACGCATAAAAACAGTGAACAAACAAGAGATACGTATGATCAAAGACATGATCAATATGGTCAGAGGAAGTCAGACGTGAATGGAAGGATGCTAATGAATCAAGCACACACACACACACACACACACACACATACAGAGAGGCAAAAACAGACATATATAAATGCGATTATATATATATATATATATATATATATATATATATATATATATAGATAGATAATATTAGTGGTAAATATACACATACCAAATAATGACCAGGGAATATTAGTGTTTAAGCCTTTTTATTATATATATATATATATATATATATATATATATATATATATGAGATATGACTGCACAGGTATGCAGAAAATAGAAAAGAACACGTTGGGTGCATAATCCGGAGTTCCTTAGTATTTTTGTTTTATTTTTATTTTTAAGAAGACAGTGCTCCATACAGAAGTAGAGCTTATATTATAATATATTTATAATATAAAATACATATTATTTTATTATAATTATTTGGTTGGTTTTGGCTCTCGTTTTTGAAACATGAGAACTCTTATGTAGCGAAAGAATCATATTTTTAAACAAAAAAAATTATATTTATCGGAAAGCGTGCTCATAATAGAGATAGAGCTTTTGCAATTATAAAAAAAGTCATCGGGGCATATAAATCTTGCTTCTTGAATAGCAGTTTCCTGACTAAAGCTTTTAACGGATCATTCGTTGAATGTCTTAAATTACTATTCGACAGACAATATTGCTTTCCCTGTAAACATTCTTTCTTTCTTTCTTTCTTTCTTTCTGTTTTTCTCTTCTGTCTATTTCTGTCTCTCTCTTCCCAAATACAAATCTATCTATCTATATATATTCTATATATATATATATATATATATATATATATATATATATATATATATATGTGTGTGTGTGTGTGTTTTGCGTGTGTGTTTGCGTGTGTGTGTGTGATTCGCAGACAGTGCTGTTTTTGTTGTATCCCAGTTCCTCAATGCGACTAAACATCCAAATGCCTCAAGCCAGGATTGAAACCCAACCGTCATATTGTCAGAAAGAGCAGCTAAATTTAGCGTATTGTTTTTACAAATGTAAATTAATTCCAATCAGCCGGAGGGCTCTATTCATTTTACTGAAGAGCTATACATATATATATATATATATATATATATATATATATATATATATATATATATATATATATATTTAAAAAAAAATATCATTCCTTCACTACATAAGAGTTCTCATCTTTCAAAAATGAGAGCCGAAAACCTCAATATAATTATGCGAAAATTTGTTGATGTCGGCAGAAAACTGTTAACTCCTTCAGCAATATTAGAAATAGAAATCAGACATCTCTATCCAAATATTTTTGGCATTTAAAAGAAATGAATAAAACACCAAAAGTAAAATGGAAAAATAATAAATAGAACAAGAACTTGTAAAACCTGGTATGACTCATGCCCTTTACGTCTACATGAAAAACTACACATTATTAAGTTTCTAAATAATGAAAATTGATTAAACCATAGACATGAGATTTTGGCCTTAAATAATTAGCGTAAAAAAATTATATTTCATAGTCTAATAAAAGGTTTAAAAGATTAACCCAATCAAAAGATAGAAAAACCCTTTATGATGTCGTTACAAAAACAAATTGTAGTTTAGTGCGACGCGTTTAAGTACGAAGCAGACCTTTAGGAAAAAAAATTAAAAAAATAAATAAATAAAAGGATAAATAAATAAAATAAAACAAAATTCTCTAGACACTTAACGACATATTATGGTGCCAAAAGTAATCTTTCGCTGTGACTGACCAGACGATGTACACACATGAATGCCATCATTCGCTTTAAAATGGATACCCCCCACCCTACCTCATCTTGACCCCTTTCCGAAGATGACTGATATGTGGATAAAAATTATCTCTTAGACTCCTTACCAAAACTGTCGCCCCAGCCGTTTCCATAGTAATTAATTTTGCGAATGAACATGCTTATAAAGATGCGTAAATTTCAAGATTGGTTATTCCTAGATTTTCGATTGAGAATGAAACAGGGCTTGACACTTTAACTCAATTTACTTTTAATAATTATATTGAGGATTTGGGCTCTTAGTTTTGAAACATGATAACTTTTATGTAGCGAAGGAATCATAATTTAAAATAATAATTGTAATTTAAGGTCTACTTGTATGGAGCTCTGTGTTTGTAAAAATAAAGAACTCCGGACTATTTACCTAACATGTTCTTTCCTATTTTTCTACATATCTGCACACACACACACACACACACACACACACACACACACACACACACACACACACATATATATATATATATATATATATATATATATATATATATATATATATGTTTAGTTACGAAGAACTTGGTAAACCGAATGTGTAATTCCAAGGAGGATGAAATCCTGAGAGCTCAATGTGAATACATAGCTAATATTTAATGAAAAAATAGACCACTTTAAGGTACCATTAAAATAATTTATTTCACCAAAATCCTTTTTGAAGGACTCTGGATCATCAGGTA